AAGGATCCCAACAAGGCTATTTCTTCAGCCTTTGATGGCGTCTTGAAGGTATATTTTGTTATACAACATTCCATTTCTCTATCTTTAGTTTGGTTGCATCTAACCATCATCTTTTTGTCTTTTTGAACATGTAGGTCGGCATGACTTTGAGTGTGCTCGTCGAGGAGTACCGAAGGGGGCCATGAAGGATGTTGAGGGTCTCCGTGGTGAGCTTTCAAAGGCTAAGACCGAGATCCACGGCCTCAAGGAGGAGCTTGCTGATGCCCAGGAGGCCGGGACATCCCGCATTCAAGCCCTTGAGACTCAGCTCAAGGAGGATAAGGAAGGGAAGGAGTTGATCGCCAAAGAGCTAAAGGAGAGGAAAGACGAGCTGGCCCAGATGAAGAGTGATCTTGCTGAGGCTCGGAGGAAGGTGGAGCAAAGCCAGGAGGAGGTAATTGCTGAATGGAAGAAGTCTCCGGCTTGCGCTGATTTCCAATCTGAAATTGGATATGTGGCCTTTGAGGCGGGGATTGAGGATGCCCTGACTCATATGCAGGTTACCTTTACTTCTTTCGGTCTCCAAGATTCGTACCCTAAATTAAGGACCTTGTTCGCGAGGCCGAGGAGGAGGAGCAGAGGAAGGTGCTTGCCGAGGAGGGCATGACCGAGGAGTAGCCCCTTGCCTTGCTTTGATTGAATTCTCCTAGGATGTGTTTTCTTTTTGTGAAACTTGTGATATTTGTGTTGGAACTCTGACTCGGCTTGTATATTTGCACCTTTAGCCTTTGCCTTTGTTTTTCTTATTTGAAGTAGATTTCATGTGCTCCTACTCCCGCTTGCTTTATTGTTTGTCACTTGCTTATTACTTGCTCCTTCACCTCTAGGGGCCAAAAAGAAGCCCCTAGTGCTTATCGAGTAACCTTGGCATGAACGAGGGCTAACTGAGCCTTATGTTCTTTTTTGCAAGTACGTGATTTGTGTGAACATCCGGGGGCTAAACGAGCCCCAAGTTATAATTTAACTAAGTAAATGGACTAGGGGCTAGACAAGCCCCAATTTAAGATTGATAGGAGAGCTAGGCTATCCCTGCTTATTATAACAAAGTGAAACGATTTTGGGGCTAACATAAGCCCCAAGTTATAAGAGTTATGCTTTTCCAACCTTTTAAATTAGGCTGGGGGCTAAACGAGCCCCAATTTATGAGTGATCTTTTGGCCAGGACTCTATCTCAAATGCTTAAGTATAGGCTAGCATCTTGCCCCAAACATTGGAACAAACTTTAGTGTTAGCGAACCAAAATGCCTTATGCCCGGCATGTGGTGCTATCAAATGAACGTTGGCTATGCTAATGAGCGATATAAAAGTTTCAAAAATAAACTAAGTAAACAGCAAATAACAAGTGCAAAATAAATGGGGCAAACATCCCAACCGGGGGTTTTTCATTATATTAACAAAAAGATGAAAGTCATTACAATGATGCGCTATATAGAAGTTGATCTCCTAGCATCGGCTCTTATTGCCCCTAGGGCATCATTGTGATGAAGATGCCTTAGACATAAAACCGCCGGAGGTTGTCTGCATTCCATGGTCGAGGGAGGTCCTTGCCATCAGGGGTTTGTAAGCGAAAGGTTCCCGGGCGGACTACCTCTGTAATCTTGTAGGCCCTTCTCAATTAGGGCTTAGATTTCCCAATGTCGGGGGCTTGCCCGCAGCCTCACACTTTCGTAGCACCCAATCACCTTCAACCAGGGGCCTTGCCTTGACTCTTTTGTTGAAATAACGAGTTATCCTTTGCTTGTATGTTATAGAGCGAAGCAAAGCATCTCCCCTTATCTATGGGAGTAAGTCTAAGGCCAAGGGCTTCAGCTTATCATTCCGGTAGGGATCATAGAAGGTAATCCTGGGGGATGGGATCCCAACTTCCACGGGGAGTACTACATCACTCCCATATACCAAGGCAAAAGGAGTTTGCCCCGTAGCTTCCTTGATTGTGGTACGAATGGACCATAAGATCCCGGGCAAGTCATCTACCCAAGACCCCTTCGTGCCTTCCAGCATTGTCTTCAACCCTTTCAATATTGTTTTATTTTCCGCCTCCGCTTGGCCGTTTGTTTGGGGTCGGCACACAGCCGAAAACCTTGTCTTGATCCCAAAACGCCCACAATACTCTATAGTTGGCCCACTATTGAATTGTCGGCCATTATCTGAGATTAAGATGCGGGGTACCCCGAAGCGGGTGATGATATTCCTCCAGATGAACTTCTGGACTTGCTTATCGGTTATTGTAGCCACCGGCTCAGCTTCAACCCACTTGGTGAAATAATCCACCGCTACTATCAGAAATTCCCTTTGTCCCAAGGCTATGGGGAATGGCCCTAGGATGTCCATGCCCCAACGATCAAAGGGTAGGACTGACTGAATACTTGTGAGGACGTTATCCGGAACATGGGGCATGTCAGCGAACCTTTGGCATTTTTCACACTTCTTGACAATTCTGGCAGCATCGTCCCTCAGGGTTGGCCAATAGAACCCAGCCCTTAGCGCCTTTCCAGCTATAATCCTTCCACCCTGATGGCTACCGCATGCCCCTTCATGAATTTCTCTAAGTACATAATTTCCCTCCTCCGGGGTAATGCACTTCAGCAATGGATGAGTAAAGGATTTTTTATAGAGGATCCCCTCATGAAGTAAGAACCACTCACTCCGCTTTTTGATCATTTTGAAGTCAAGGGTGTCCTCGGGCAGCTCCCCCTTTAAGCATTGAATGATTTGATCCATCCAAGTTTCCCCTCTATCAATGTCCATGACAGCAAGCCTTTGGGTACTTGGTTTTTCTAACACTTCCCACATGATATTCCAGGGGTCTATCCCCTCAGCCGAGCTTGCTAATCGGGCAAGAGCATCAGCTTGCTGGTTCTCTGAGCAGGGAATGTGCCTGATTTCAAAGTTGTCAAACGATCTTGCCAAGCTTTCAGCCTTTTCAAAATAGGCTTTCATGTTCTCCTCCTTCACCTCGAATTCCTTTGTCATTTTCCCCACTATGAGCTGTGAGTCTGAGCATACTTGAACGGATTTTATCTTCATGAATTGGCACAAGTTTAGCCCCAATATAAGAGCCTCATACTCAGCTTCATTATTTGATGCCTGAAAGGAAAACTTGACCGCATATTCAAACTTCTCTTCCTCCGGGGAGATGATGACTAGCCCAGCTCCACTCCCGGCCTTACTAGACGACCCATCCACATAAAGAGCCCAAGGGGCGGAGGTCAATTGGAGTAGGCCTGTGAGCGCATTCAGCTATGAAGTCGGCTAAGGCTTGGGCCTTGATGGCCTTCCGGGGTTCAAACTCGATTCCGAAATCAGCTAATTGATCTGACCAATCTGTCATTCGGGATGAGTGATTTTTGCTCTCTAGCAATTTCTTGATTGGTTGGCTGGTGAGGTCTTTGATCAAGTGTGCTTGAAAGTATGGCTTCAACTTCCTACTTGCCATCACTAAAGCGTACACCACCTTCTCTATGAGAGTGTATCGGGTCTCAGCCCCCCTTAGAGCATGGCTGACAAAATAGACCGGTACTTGGCCTTCATCTCTTTCAGCAACAAGGACCGCACTCAGGGCATAGTCTGATATGGCCAAGTACACGAACAATGTCTCCCCAGGGAGGGGGCTAACAAGCTTTGGAGGGTTCATCAGATGTTCCTTCAGCTGCTGGAAAGCTTTCTCAGCTTCTTCATCCCATAAGAACTTAGGCCTCTTGAGGGCCCTGAAGAAAGACAAACTTTTATCCGCTGATCGGGATAGGAACCTCCCCAATGCGGCTAGGCAACCTGTAAGGCGTTGCACTTCCTTCACATTTCGGGGGGATTCCATGTCAAGAATAGCTTGAATCTTATCGGGGTTGGCATCAATACCCCGCTGATCAACCATGAAGCCCAGACATTTTCCACCTTGCACCCCGAAGACACAACTGCTGGGGTTAAGCTTCATTTTATACTTTCTAAGGGTTGTGAAGGTTTCCCTTAGATCAGCTATGTGGTCCGGGCTTTCCTTGCTTTTTACGATCATATCATCAACATAGGCCTCAACATTCCGACCTAGTTGCCCTTCAAAGATTTTGTTCATCTGACGCTGGTAGGTAGCCCCGGAGTTTTTCAAGCCGAAGGGCATCACATTATAGCAATAACCCCTTGGCTAGTGATAAAGGCTGTGTGGGCTTGATCCTTCTCTGACATGGGAATCTGATGATACCCTGCATTGGCATCCATGAAGCTTAGGAGGGCGTGACCAGCAGTCGAATCCACCAACCTATCAATCTTAGGCAAAGGATGATCATCCTTTGGGCATGCCTTATTCAAATCTGTAAAATCCACACACATACGCCAAGAACCGTTGGGCTTCCTAACCAACACCACATTGGATAACCACTCAGTGTATTGGCATTCTCGAATGAAACCCGCTTCGAGAAGCTTCTTAACCTCAGAAGCTGCGACTTTGTTTCTCTCTGGCCCAGCATGTCGGAGTTTTTGTTTGACGGGCTTTTAGCCCTCCTTAATGTTCAGCTCATGAGTCATTATCTCGGGGTCTATGCCCGGCATTTCATCTGCTGTAAAAGCGAAGATGTCTTTGTACTCTCTAAGTACTTGAATGATTTCTTCCTTGAGCTGGGGGTCCAAGTTCTTCCCTACCCTCACAGTCCGAGCGGGGTCATCCCCTAAGGGTATGCTCTCATCTTCTTCAATAGGCCTATGCCTACCATACTGCTTTGGATTCTCAACAATGTAAATGCTCATGACTGGATACTGAGGTTCATCAATTTCCATGGCTTTCCTCTTAGCCCCCTTGTCCTCTTGATTGACGGAGCTCTTAGGTGACTTCAAGCTATCTACATAGAATTTTCTTCCTTCAAACTGATCTCCAAATATCTTGCCCATCGATCCGTCATCGGTCTCAAATTGGAGGAGTAAGTGATAGGTTGAGATGGCAGCCTTAACCCTATTGAGAAGGGGTCGGCCAAGGATCATGTTGTATGGCAGAGGGGTATCCACAAGAACGTGTGAACCAAGCTTCTCCCTTTGTTCTTTTCCCCCAAACGGATAGGAAGCTTGATTGTTCCCAAGGGGTACACATGATGCCCCCCAAATCCCACTAAGGGTTTCTCCAGGGGTGTAAGGTCACCTCTTCCAAAACGCATCTGCTCGATGTATTTCCATGTGATGATATCCGCTGAACTTCCACTATCTACTAAGATCTTCTTCACCTTAGCATTGGCCACCTTCATATGAATCACTAAGGGGTCATCATGAGGCCTTTGAATCTTCTTTCCTTTGTCATCCCCGAATACCATGAGGGGATCCTTCGGGGTAGATGAGGGAGTGCCGATATCATAGATGGGCTCTTCGAGCGACCGCAAGTGACTTTTGCGTGCCCTGTTAGACAAACCCCCGGAGGCAAACCCTCCGGCTATGACATTGATGCTCAAGTTAGTGTCAGCTGAGCTATGGGCTTCTTGCACTTCTTTGGCGGCCTTGCTTTGCTTATCCTTCGGGGGGGACTTGAGATATCTTTTAATCTTTCCCTCTTCAGCTAGCTTGTCAAGGGCTCTCTTAAGCTCTCTGCAGTTCCGGGTGGTATGACCACACTCCTTGTGGTATTCACACCAAAGCTTCTTGTTCCTCTGCTCTATCGGCGTGTTCATGGGGTTAGGCTTAGGAAGAATAGCCTTGTGATTTATGTCCAAATAGATCTCACGCCTATCAACATTGTACTTGAGTCCTTCATCATCACTCTCAGCCCTTCTCGGCCTTCTATTCCTGTTGTCATGGTAATTATCTTCTTGATTCCTCTTTCCCTTGTTGTTTGCTACGGGTGCCTTGCACACCTCACTAGCTTCAATGATCCTTTCAGCTCTCTCCATGGCTTTAGAGAAGGTGCTCACCTTGTCATGGACAAGTTCAAACTTCAGCTTGTTAGACTTGAGCCCGAAGAGAAGGGCTGTGAAATCAACATTGTCTTGGAGGTCGGGGATGAGCTGAGACTCGGTGTTAAACCTCTTGATGTAGTCCTTAAGACTTTCATTCTCCCCTTGTTTGACCGTCATCAAATGAACGCTAGTCTTTGTTTGCCTACTCCCAGCGATGAAGTGCTTTTTGAACTGAGTGGCTAACATATCAAACGTTCTTATGCTCCCGGGGGTAAGGTTGTTGAACCATGTCTGGGCTATGCCCTTGAGAGTAGTGGGGAAGAACCTACACCATGAGTCCTCACACCCGGTTTGGACTCCCATCTGTGCTTTGTAAGTGTTCAGATGGTCCGTTGGGTCCGTCTTTCCATCATAAGGGTCCAATGTAGGGATCTTGACCTTAGGAGGAATAGGGGTATTCATTATCTCCTAGCTGAAGGGGGTGATGTTCTTGACAATCCCGAGCCTCCGTGGCCTGGGGGAGGAAGGACGCTCGGGGCTTTTGCTTACTGAACGAGCGGGCTGATCAGTTCCTCTTCTTGGTCTGGAGGTAGCTGAGTGAATCATGCTATCTCGGTACCTTGTTGACCCATGCCGAGAGTGAACTCTAGTTCGACCTCTTTGGGGGGGGGGGGTTATCTTCCTTGGAGTTCTCCCTCTTGGAGTTGATTATCTCTCGGGCATCTAGAGTGCCATCCTTCAGCCTTCGGTCATTGATAATCTCTCTACCATCTCTTGGCCTGCTTGGCTGCCTTGTCTCCCGTTGAGGGTCATGGGACTGATCGGGCTGAGAGCGGCGAGATGTCTGATGCTGAGGCTGAGAGGAGGCTTGATGGAGATGGGACACGTGAGGCGGAGGATTAGGTTGTGGAGCGCTCCCCTGCCTGCCTTGCCCCACCCCTTGGTTGATAAGTGCCCTGAGGCTTTCCTCCAAGTTTCTGTTGATCTAGGCTGCCAGCTGGTCCAAGTCTCGGCGAGTGGCCACTTGGGGGCTGTTCACTTCTCTCTCGGGTTCACTACGAGCCCTGGGTATGATTTCCTCGACTATGTGAGCATTTCTAGCTGAGAGAATTGGAGCTTGCCTAGTAGCATCTTGTTGAGTGTTGCGGGGACGCCTAGTGTTCACCATGACTTTTTGTTAGTTATCCCCACAGACGGCGCCACCTGTTTCTGGAAACAGAATGCTCCTGGGAGTTTTAGGGTAGTAAGGGTAATCAAGATGTCCTAGAACTATGTCCAATGAATGTCCGAATTTCCCTCAGCTATGCCTTGCTGTCCGAGAGCTAGGCCTGCAAAAGAGAAAGAAGGTTAACTGCCCTGGGGGTGTGACCCGGGAAAGCCCCTCCGATGCTTAAGTCAGCGAACGTACTTTCTTGTGAGAGAAAGTAGAGAGAGAAATAGTACTTTAGAGAGAGAAAGTAGAGAGAGAAGATTAGAGAATTAGGAAAAAGTTACCATCATCAATGATTGGAGAGCTATTTATAGATGTACTTTCAGGTGGCAGAAGTTGTACTTAATTGGACAGATTAGGGGTAAATTCGTACTTTGCTCTAACTAATGATGGGCTGGATCATGGAGGGGTATTTTCGTAATTCCAGGTCACTAGGCTTAGGACAATGGACTAGGCCCAAACAACTTCCATAGCTCACGCCTCTCGCGCATCCCCATTTCCCATTCCCACTTCCGTGAACCAATAAAAAACACCTCGAAATCTTCCTCCTTTCCCCACGGAATCCCCTAAAACTATCTCCCACCACCGAAAAACCCTAATCGAACCTTTCCCGTCATCTCTAGGGTTTCTGTTAGGGTTTTTGAAGGTGGGGGATGAGTTTTAGGGGGTTTTGTGGGCAGAAGAATGGTGGTTTCGGGATGGGTTGGCAGTTGGACGAAAGAGGCAAGGGGGTCGGCGCCGATATCGGGGGAGGTTGGATCTACGCTGCTGGTGCCGGGGGGCAGAGAAGGGTGGAGCGGTGGCTAATAATCTTTTAAAAATGAATAAATAAATAATTAATTAATCACATTAAATTGCTAAATCGATAATATTTTGACAGGTGTCCCATATAATCTATTAATCAAGTCAATAACCAATTATAACTTGATTTAGGCGAAAACTCCACAAAATTTGTATTATTTAGAAATAATCAAAAGATTGAATTATTTATAGTGAACCGCTCAAATTTGTATTACTTTGACAATTTTCCAAAATATAATTTTTTTTTTTTTGTTGACGGGTACTAATATGATAAGTTAACAATAACAGTAGTGGGCGGGTTATTTCTCAAAAAATCTTTAATTTAAGGATATTATCTAAACGCAACTGATTGAATTTTGCAATGAGAAGCATGACAAAGTAACATGTCCACAAGAATAATAGAGCAAGTAATATATAATACATTATTAATTTTTTATTCAGATTTTTATTGTAATTACATTTTGATTTTGATTTTGATTTTGATTTTGATTTATCCCAATTAATACAAAGTTTGATCAACCACCACCACAACGTAGAATCCATGCGATGAGTGAAAACCACCCCCTAAGTATTAGAGATAAGCATCCTTGCGAATGTCACTCTGAAAATAGAATGTTATTACAAGGTTAAACTCAAAATTGTAACCCCATCCCCAAAAAATGTGCATAAACCCCTTTTTTTCCCTCTGTACACATGATACTCGCATTCTATATTTAGCCTAAATGTGACATTACAAACAATACAAGGGCTATGTATGATAAGCTATACACTCCCATCATGCTGCAGAATCAATTCGTCTTACAATTTCTCGAGTAGTTAGAAGATAACCTGCCTTGTGTCTGGAAAAACTCAAATGGTGTCCCTGGGCCAAATGACCTTCTGGTGGAATTCGGCGAGCCCGGCAACAGAGGCTCGAACACTGGAGTCCTCTTCGGGTGAGCTACAGACATGGGTATAGCTTCGTTCTCAATTAGCCTAGGCTGCGGTTCAATATTACCTAGAGATAAGATGGGGCCACCCAAGCGCTCAGCTTGCTGTAATAGGTTGATCTTACTTGGTCTGTATGTGAAGCGGAAGTATTTTAGAGCTAGTATGGGACCCATTCCCGCAACAACAATTAGCTGAAACAAACACAGGTTTCTGTCAGTCAAACAAAAAAAAAAAAAAAAAAACAGAAGTAGAAGAAAGCAGCAGGCAAGGAAAGGTATCTATAGGGAGTCTAACAGATATCCATCGAGTAGAGACTTACAAACATAGTAATCCAGTACGATGGTTGCTTACACAACCGGAACATGATTGTGTGCATTCCTGAAGATGGAATAGTGCTGACAATGAGATTGATGATGTAGAAGGCAATCAAATTCCCCCATATTGCAAGGTGCTGTAATATCGTAAAAGAACTAAAACCAGGGAAACAAGAACATAAGTTTGACAGGATAAACTAACAAGGGGGCTAAGTATGAAATAATAATACTTTATATCAAACCAATCGAGGTACATAACTGAGCCAAAGTGTGAACCACCCCAATCTCTCTTTTTAAAATATATAGCTCCAGAAATTGCAATTTAATAACCGCATTTAATGATGAAAGGTTTAAGAGACCCACATTGGATCCCAAGGGAGTTTCCTTTAACTAGGGGGAGGGGGTTGGGGAGGAAAAAAAAAACCTACATCTTTTATTCGAAATTCCTCGCCAGCATATTACTTTCTTCAACCAGCATATTCTAAATCTAGCAATCAGAGACAAGTATTTTTTAGGGCTTACTTTGTTTCCAGTGCTACAACAAAAGCTTGCAGCCAAATGCATCCAGACAGCGCAACCATAGCTACCTGCTCCGTTTCACTTTTTTCACCAGCATATGCATTTAAACTGATAATAAATACAACAATAGCCTGCATATTGCATCAACTTGGCCGGTTAAATACAACCAAGAAGATGAATATATAGGAAATTAGCTCAATGGATAAATGCAACTTAAATACATCGGTCCCTGATGGATAACCAGTACCAAATGCAATCAGGAATTTACAGTGTGTGAATAGACTTTCCTAAGGTGGCAGGAATTTACAGTGTGTAAATAGACTTTCCTAAGGTGGCAGATAAAGATGATCAAACTAGTGAAAATTGTCTCAAGGGGGTAGAAATGCCTGAAGAAATTAATTGTTATGCTTAAAATTTGTGCACTAAATCACTAAGGACTTTCATTTCGTCACTATTCTCAATAGAATTACAACAGTATAGACGCAAATGAGGATTAAAATACGTACATGGAAAAGAGACCGTCCAAACCACCCAGCAAAGGTACTTGGATTCAGAACCCTGTTACAAAGGAGCAACTATGAGACACACAGTACACTCAGCTGATTATATATTAAATGCTAAATCAGAGAGATTTTAATTTTTATAAACAATTTATCCCAATAAGAGTTATAATCAAAAGAAATGTCTTAAAGTAACATATAAATATGAAATCAATGCCGAGCAAATTCATGTAATCATTGAGAAATATAGATTTAATCTGTCTCACCCAGTCTGACAAAAAAATTCGACTAGAATGTAATAATGTATCATAAGTTTTTCACCAACATATCCTGATCAGTCTTTTACCCATTATTCTGCAAAATTTAATGATTTCACTAAGTATTTAAACTACTCTTTCCATCATCTCTGAAGACATCAAACTAAACATGCATTTAACAAGGAAGCAAACCAACAAATTAATTGATTTTTTTGTTTTCTTTAGTGAACCATATATTTCAAGCTCCAAGAGAAAAGTGCAGACCTTCCAGCTTGACAGTAAAATAAGATCTGGGGATGCTGCATAACTGTCCTCTCATTTAGATCTTTGTCAAGGACACTAACTAGCACAGGAACACTTGTGTAGAAAACATTATAAGCCATTAAACTGACAGAATTGAAAAGGCTAGTTCCAGATATGCCTGAAACAAAAGAGTAACTGAATGTCCCAGAAGGCCGGAAGAGTTAGGTAAATTGTATTAAATGAAGCCAAATAAAAGAAAAGTACAAAGATTAAGAGCTTTAAGAGTGGCGTACAATATTTGTATGAAGCAGATAATTAGGGACTTGTAAAAGGAGTATTGGGAAAGAAATGCAGTGCGGTTATATGAATAGCGTCCATGCACAAGAATCAATCTCTTTAAATATTGGAATCCTGCAATTGAGATATTCTTGTGAGACACATTTACATAAGATTTTAGACCAAAGTCAAGCCTCAAAAACACATCCAACGTGTTTAAGAGGCTTCCAAGATCCATGTCAAAATATTTATCTAAGAAGGAACATGTAATAAACAGTTTACCATACTAATTAAATTCTTAATCAGAAACAATATGCTCCTCTTCCATAAATTAGCTTGAAAATGAATTATCTGTAATATGTATAAATTTTATAAGGTCAAAAGATGTTCAATCATCTTCAGTTAGAGAGAT